CAATTAGGATTGTCTTTTTGTTCCAATGGGTTATACAGGAAAGAAGCAGGAAATCTTGATGAAAGCTTGGACTTCACAGGATATTTGTGTGAGTATTTATTCCATGTGTTTGATGTTTGTCTTCCACATCTGCACACTTTATGCCTGCTTTCTGGCTGTGATATTTTAAAATACCACTTTGCTTCCCCCTACCACTCTGCTTTTTTAAACGTCATAACGCTTCCTAGCATGATGCTTTCTATATGGGAGGGGCTCAGAATAAGGAAACTGAGGCCCACAAGACACAAGTCACTCATTTACTCTGGATGTTCATTTTAAAGTGGGTGGATTAGGTGTGCAAGTGCTTCTAAAACTTGGCCACAAAGTACCCTTGGCAGACACAAAAAAGAATCGTTCTCCCACCAGAGGGCCTGGGGGCCTAGCCTGAAGCAGCCTCTGCAAATTGGAATTTTCTCTGAAATGTCTTCGTTTCTCTTAAAACTTCATGAGAAGTCTGTGTTTTACAAAACAGTAAAGTCTATGTTTGCGGTAGTTGAAGGGTTAACTCAGCAGTGAAATTGTTTTGCTTTCCTATAGTATCATTAGGTGAATCCAATGCTCCAGGAAACAGACATGCAGCTTCACAAATTCAGGTGCTGGGTTCCCAGCCCAGGAAGTGCCGATCCTGGCATGAGAAGCAAGAGTTAACAGCTACACAGCCCTCTGCCAATAGAAAATGCTTTAATTACAACTTTTAAAGTTTTAGATTTTTCATAAAATGAAGGCAAAAGAATAGAAAAATTGTCAGTCTGACACCTGGATGGCACCTGAGAAGGAAGCAGAAGACGTGGAAGGAGGAAATCCAGCTAGACCAGTAAGATGGAAGGAAATGTCAGTGGCAGAAGCAGAGAGGACTTGTCTCCTGAGAGACGACATGTTGGACAAACAGGAAGTCACAGAACCCTGAATCTGGAAGGGAATCTTGCAGAAGGGAAGCCTGCCAAGTGTACAGTGTGGCTCCACCACACACCCCACACACTGCAACAACCTCGAGGTGAGAAGCCTATATTACCAAGGATAAACAACCCCCATTTAACTAACTCCTGAGGGCCGATGTACTTGAAACAACTTGAACTCCTCACAGGACCATCTACATTCAGGCCTAATTGCTGGCCAGCTCCAGGTGGAAACCATCCAAATGCAAGGCGAGAGCATGGCTTCGGTTCAAGTCCAGGTTCTTCCACATACGAACTCTCTGGGACCTCAGACCAGCGACTTAAGTGGGCGTGCTTCTGGTTTTACTAACTATCCACCCCTCACAAGATTGCTGACGAGAAATAGATGGATACGTGTGAAATAGGGAGAAGAGTGCCCAGCCCAGAGCTGCTGCTGTTAGGGGCTGGTAAGCTGGTTCCAACCAAAGTGACTCTGTACACAACACGAAGAAACCCAGCACGATCTACCCCCTCTCACAACCCCAACAACTGCTGCCCTTCTGCCTATCATCACACAGACTGAGTGGAGCATTTCCTGCATGCCAGACCTTGAAGGAAATTTCCCTCAGACTTGCCTTCTCTTGGCCAAGTATCTTGATTCCTTTAAAAGAATCCCTGTATGACAAAGTTCCAGACCCTTCTAATTTGGGAACTCTCCTTTGAAGAAACTTGGGTCTGTCAGTGACCTACTTAAAGTGTGGTGGCTGGGACGGAATTCTTTTTCATGACCTGATGTGCAAACAGTGTCCTGCACTCCATGGCACAGGTCCCTTGTCTCATTGTCCCAGGCACCTCTTTCTGTCTGCCTACCTTACCACTCTCGACTCCCACACTTTGACAGCTGATTTGCTAACCCAAAGCACAGAATTTTATAGTCAATACTAATAAATGTAATCTTCTTAATTTCAGCCAGTTTAAATCTTCAGAAAATGAATTCCCTTATCCTAGACATTAACTACTGTGAGCTCTAAGCCAGCAGAAAATGACTTCTATCTCATCATTCAGTGACAGACACTTAGAAACAACACTCTGGGTTGACACGAACCATTCAGATACGGTCCTTTGAACCGTCCCTTAACCACCTAAACCTACTAATACCCAAACCTTATTTTTCCTGACTGCCTTCACAAAGGCTGTTGTCAGGTGCCTCAATGACGTCCAGTTTCACGGCACCTATTTCTCTGTCCTTACTACCAGGCTGGCTACCCTGCTCAAAGAAGAACATGAGTTGAGCTTTCAATCAGCTTCATGTTTGGTAAATCCACGGGGCTTACTAGAAGCACTGCTATGCACCTATCATCTTTCAGGATGAACTTCTCACAGTGAAAATCTTTTGTTGTGGAGGTGATGGTGGTGGTAGCCTAAAAGTTGGCTTTTTTTTTTTAACACAGTGAAAATCTTAATCTGTGGAGTGGTGGGAAGGATATGATTTCACGTAATAGAATACCAGTCAAAAAAAAAAAAAGATAGCATAAAGTGTTTTCATACCATGGCACTGATACATAACGCACTCACTCACCATACTCCTGACTTCATCTTCCGCTAGTTGAGTTACTGCCTGGTGTCTGCAGTGCCAGTACTGATTGTAATGAACAGCCACTTAGATGTAGAAAGAACAAAAAAGACCAAAATCTCCAATAACTTGGGAGATCCTTGCCTATTTTTGTTAATTCCTGCTCTATCCTACATTTGTATCATCTGTGTCTTTTCGATGAAAAAAAACTTGTAGCAGCACGTGGATTCTATTAGTAATATTAGATTATTCAATCTCTCTTATTGCATTGAGTACTCTGCTGACAACAATTTCTAAACAATTTGACAGATTTCTAAGTCGAGCATTTGAAAAAAAAGAAAGAAGAGAGTTTTGGAGACACACTTCCAAACAAATGTAGCTGGATATTCATTCCGCTCCGTGTTCCCGACCTTGCCCACGTTTCTCCTTCCTTCCTGTTCTCCTATTCCCACGTCTACACCTCGTCTCAGGTGACACACATGCTCTGTGCTGTTACTACACACTGTTCTGCCGGGTTAGCGGCAGCCAATCACATCGACTAGTTACAACTGCTCATCAAGGAGACTGTTTGTGCTCAGTGTGAGCACATCTGTGCTGCCTGATGAAGACTGCATTTAGAATGATGTTCAATGTCTCCACATTTACCTTTTCTAATCATCGCAATCGTTATGCAGAACAGGATATCCAGAAGGCTGGGCTCTATGAGGAGAAGTATGGCATCAGGATTGGAGGAAGAATCATCAACCCTGCTTGCTGAAACTGAGGAGGACCTAAAGCACTTGCTGTGGAAGGTCAGGGAAAGCACTCTTCAGTCTTGAGACTCAATATCAAGAAGACAAAAATTCTCACCACTGAGCCAATTGGCAGCATCATAATGGATGGTGAAGAGATTGAGACTGTTCACAGTTTTGGTCTGCTTAGATCCATAGTCAACACTCTTGGCACCAGCAGCCAGGAAATGAAAAGATGTATTGTGATGGAAAAGTGTGTGGTTAGAGATCTCTCTAAAGTGCTGAAGTGCAAAGATGTTAGTCTGGAGACTAAAGTGTGCCTGATACAGGCCATGGTCTTTGCAATCACTTGCTATGCATCAGAGAGCTGGACAATGACTAGGGAGGATAGAAAGAGAATTGATTCCTTTGAGCTGTAGTATTGGAGTAGAGTATTGAATATACCATGGACTGCTAGGAAAACAAACAGATTTGCCCTAGAGAGGGTGAAGTCGGGCTGCTCCTTGGAGGCAAGGATTCTGAAGCTTGAAGGATTCTGAAGCTTCGTCTGACATACTTTGGACATATTGCAAGGAGGCACAGGTCCTTGGAGAGGGACGTCATACTTGGGAAGGTGGAGGGACAGCACAGGAGGGAAAGACCCTCAATGAGATGGATTGATTCAGTGACTGGGGTAATGGGGGTAGGTGTGTCAGAAATGGTTGAGATTGGCACAGGACAGAGCAGAGTTTAGGGCTGTTGTACATAGGGTAACTATGAGTCGCAGGCAACTCAATGGCATAAAACAACAACAACAACAACAACAATCATCACATGCGTGACAGACTGTTTTACGTTCACTCCTACTTGATGTTCTTCTCTGCGATCCCATCTCAGAAAGTCTGGTGACACTGGTGAGACTTGGTTTGGCCAATGAAAGATGAGTGGTTGTTTACAGTGCTGCTCTCCAGGAGAACCTAACATGTTTTAACAGAATTCCTCTTCCATTCCTGTCGGTGGTCCAGAGAGGCTGGATCCAACACTAGGAAACCTGACTCAAGGAGCCCAGTATGGAGCCGAACCATGGCGAACTCTCAAAAGACACACGGCATGAGCGTGAAAGAAACCTCCTGAGTCTGATTTTCATTCTGAGACACTCTCAGTTTTCTCTCACCTCAGCCTTTGAACTTGCTGTTCCCTCTACCTGGAATAACACTATTCGCCCAGAGATTTCACAAGGGGCTTCCTTCCGTTTTCTAGAACTGCTGGTAGACATGGCCCCTGCTCAGAGGGCTTTCCTGACCACCTACTGCTGGTACTTCATTCCTTTACCTCCTCTAGCCTGCAAAGTTCATAACAGGCCTTCTTCACATCCTCATAAATCATCTATGATTTCATTCTTCCATTTGTGGTCGAGCTGTCCACTGAAATGTAAGCTCCGTGAGAGAGGAAGACTTGTCTGTCTTACTCACTGCTCGCCTGTAAGGAGGCAGATGGTACTAAATGCTCTTTGTAAAATAAACAGACGACTCAAACCAGCGCTCTGACAAGACGTGCAGAATTCAAGGGCCACAGCGATTAAACACTTCCATTAAACTTTCAGATTCAAAGACTACTGAGGTAGACTACCCCTGGGTTTTATTGAAATGAAAAAAACATGGTTGCTTAGTACTTCAAAGGCGCTAGTAATGTGACTTCTTAAAAAATGTCAATAGACAGTGATTTTAATAATATAAAGAGATTTTTAAAAACAGTGCGCATGGGTGTATTTTTAAAATGGCATCATCAAAATGGAAGACCAACCTGCTGTTCATATCGTTTTTTGACGTCATCCAACTGCCAGAGAAAGTCTTTTGACTGTTTCTCACGAAGAGACTTAGATCTACTCAGATCGGCTTCTACTTTCTCCATCTAAAAAATCAGAAAAACAAATATTAATTTTTAAACAAGATATAGTATGTCATGTTTTCTTAATTTGTCCTGTTAGATTGACAGACCTTAATAATCAAAAAGTTGACTTTAAAGATGGTAAAAAAATGAAAAATGTATCAATAGATTTTAATATCTTTTTAGAGTTGAAGGCTGGGAAATGAAAACGGACATAAATTCTAATATATAATAATAATCCCACCAGCTGCTCCACAGGAGAAAGATGGGTAATCTCCCCAACCCCCCTCCTCCCTGTGTCATTAACTGCCTCTGAAAATGCCAGAGGGTCAGCTTTGGGTCAGTTCTGACGCAACAGTTGGTACACAACAACAATGATAATAAAGTAGTATTGCATAAAACTGTTACTGTAGAATGAGTATAACGATCCAAGGGGTGGGAGAGGCTGGAAGCCGATGGATGCGGATGTGCAGGGGGAAGGGGGGGATTAACCACTGCATTGTACAATTTGATGTGGGGGGGGGTGAAGGAAACGGAAAGAATTTGTTCAAATTTGTATTCAAAATTTGTAAATAAACTAGTAGAAAAAAATAATAATAAAGTAGATATATAATTTTAGATATTCAGATACTTTTTATAAGATTTTATTCAGTCTTTGGCTCAGGATAGGGCAGGTTTCAGAGCTAATGTGCACAGGATCGATGTGAGTCGCTAGACGCCTGATGGCACATAATAACAGCAATAAACAAGACACTGATGAATGGAAGAATATTTTCAAATTATATGTCTGAGAGAGACGTGCGCACAGCACAAGTAAAGAACCTTATAACTCAACACTAAAGGGACATTTACTCAACCGGGGGGGCAGTCTCTGGGCAGCAATGACATTTATTTCTAGCTTTGTCTTTAAGAATCTGTCTGGATTTCAAATTGGTTCAGTCATGGCTGAGGAAGCTTCACTAGAACAGACTAAAGTTTTTAGAATTATGGTGAATCAGAAAGACAGCCAGAATGGGAAGATTTTAACATTACAGGCCAAAAGCTTTGTGAGAAATGTAACCTCTCCCTTATAAAAGAAGAGCTGCGCACACACTTGAGAGCAGCCAAACCTGTGCTCAGATGTCAAGCGCAGCTGGAAGCAGTGCTGTCCCTGCTCAAAGACGGCGGCTGAGGCTGCCGCTCTGAATGTCTGCTGACCTCCTCCAGCCCGATCAACATCCACGCTCGTGCATCAGCCTCCTAAAGTGCTCACGATGCCCTTCCTAGGCTCACACTTCAGGGCTTCAACCTGGAACGTTTCCATTCTAGCTACTGCAACAAATCTGCCAAATTGTAAAACTCTGAGGTCTGTTCCTGTTTCACTTCACTGGTCATGACAGAATCAAATTGCAGGGCAGGAAGGCGTTACCAATAATTAAGATGCAAAGAAGATTAAAATGGCCAAGAAGCATGGGAATGGACGTCCACCACCACCAGCCATCAGAAATGAAACCCTGAAACTCACAGTCACATCCACTCTGTCAAATTGCTTCCAACTCACGGCTGAGCAGGACCCTCCACTGGGCTTCTGAGGCTGCAAATTCCTCCAGAAACAGCCTGCCTCACCTCCCTCCCCACAACCCAAGCCGCGGATCTTTCGATTAACAGCTCAGCGAGTAATGCTCTAAGCTCCCAGGCCCCCTTCACTGGTCAATTCGTAAAAGCCACTGCTGTGAAGTCAGAATAAACTTATAGAAGCTGACCCTCTGGCAGGTTTCAGAGACTGTAAATCACAGGAGAGAAGACTGTCCATCGTTCTCCCATGGAGCAGCAGGTGGATTCAAACCACCTCCCTTTGGGTTGGCAGTACAACTCTCCATATACTAGGCCACCAGAGCTTCCCTGGTGAAATGAAAAGAAAATCGTAATGAGATACCACAGGGATGATTATAATGAAAAAGAGAGATAACAGCGATAAGAGCAAGAGCTGATAATGATGTGAAGGAAACAGAACCTTCAACCCCAAAAGCACAGAGTTGGCATCCCCAGCTGCCGCATGGGAGAAGGACATCTTGGGAGTCGGGAGAGGAGTCCACACGAAGCACTGCTAATCCAGAGGTGTCGCCTCTCAGGCAGCCTGAATCCACCAGCAGCCCCATGCGGAAGAGAGAGGCAACCTCCTTCCTTGGAGTATAATCACCTCGATGGCACAAAATTTGAGAGAGTGTTGCCTCCGGGTTGTATTCTTTCTCCATACCTATTCAATCTATATGCTGAGCAAATCATTTGAAAGGCTGGACTATATGAAGAGTAAAGCGGCATCAGGATTGAAGGAGGATTCTTCAAGAACCTGCATTACTCAGAGGACAGAGCCCTGCTTGAAGCACGGTCTCCAGGAAGATCAAGGACTGCAGCCTTCAATATGGGTTACATCTCAAAACCAAGAAAATAAAAATCCTCACCACTGAACCAACAGGTAACGCTGTGATAGAGAAAAGATCAAAGCTGTCAAGGATTTCCTTTTACTTGTATCTAGGAGCAACACTCAGGATAACAGAAATAAAAAAAAAATAAAAATTAAATAAAGAAATAAAAGAAATCAAAAGATATGTTGCAAAGGGAACGTCTGCTATCAAGGACCCTCCAGAGTGCTAAAGAGTAAAGACATCAGCTTGAGCAGGTCTTTTCCATTTCTTCCTATGCATCTGAAGAGTGGTTAAAGACCAAGGATGACAGAAAAAGAGTTAATGCCTTTGAGCTGTGGTGTTGGAGGAGAGGGCTGAGTGTCTCACATAGCCGGCACTCCTTAGAGTCAACATGGCAAAAATGTGCCTCGTACCCTGTGGGCATGTTGTTAAGAGGCGTCAGTCCTCAGAAGAAGATACCATGCTGGCAAAGGTTGTGAATCAGTGAAAGACAGAAAGACTCCCAGCAAGACGTTGTGGCCCAGTGACCGTAATGATAGGTTGGAACAAATCAGAGCTGGTGAGGAAAGCGCAGGACAGGGCAAGGGTCTGCCTTTCAACGGTATCCAACAACAGCAAGGAGCCCTAACAGTTTCTGGTCCTCATCCAGATATCTCGATTATGGCACGAAACTTAGAAACTACATATTTCTTCATAAATATCAAGAATCAAACTCCTGAAGACAGTAAGTCATCAATCTCCAAATTCCACACGGGAGTTCTAGGATTACTGATCCATACATAATCACTGTGTGGCCAAGAGCAATTTTACCAAAGAATCATTAAAGGACAAACACTTCGGAGTTGCTTTTTTCTTTTGTTTCTAACTGATGAGACAGATTTTTAAACGGAAACATTCATTTTTCTTTTTTAAAAAGCTTATGCTCCTCTCCTGAGCCTTTATGCAAAGAAAGTTATTTGTGCCACTATTAGAGCCTCTACTTGGAATATTACTGCTTTTTAATTTTTGACTCATGTACTTTTAACTTGTTAGTTAAATTTGTGTCTTCTAGGCTGCAACACTTCCATGATACATCTTCAAGGATATGAATATGTACTGCTAAGCACAATCGATAACAGTACATCTAAATTCCAAAATCAATCTCCATAATAGTCTATGTGTTTCCTACTGCCAAAGGGGCCCTTTAGAGTAGAGAGAGAAGATCTTCACCCTGAAACCCACAGCGTCCCTTTTCAGCAGGAAGTAGCTAAGAGAATACGCCATCCCCTTTTCCTTATGACTCAGGGTGAAGTCTCTCTCAGGGAGGAGTGATAGGGAATGGCAAAGGACACACCGACAAAGGAGATTAATCAGAACTGGCTTTGACAGGCACTGTGGCAATTGGACTATTAAAAGAGACTTTCAAGGGAGGGGAAGGGAAGAACGAACTGTGGGGGAGGGTAGAGAAAATAGTGCAACAATGAATGAATGAAAACCCAAAATCTCTGTAAATGTTCATTAAATTTAATAAAATTTAATAATAAAAAAAAGAGCAAGAAGGGAAAAAAAGGTAAGTTACATTTACAAGAAACTTAAAAGCCCAACAGACAGCCCTGAGTCAATTCCAAGTGACCTGTAGGCACCCCGTAGGTGACAGCAGAGCTGCCCCATGGTGGCCAGGCCTGCGGATCTCTCTGACGCAGACTGTACCGCCTCTTCCACAGGATCAACTGACAGGCTGGAACCTCACCACCTATCGTTAGTAACAAACACCTCACTGCAGCATCACCACGGCCAATGAGCCAAAATGTTCAGGAAAAGAAATAGACCCTGAAAAATCTATCATGATGTCATTATCCTACAACTTTAATTAACAAAAGGAGTGAGTCCATGAAGTTTACATGTGTGCTTGAAGACAGAAAGAGTTTTGCTGGCGACTCAAACTTCAATCTCGTTACTACTTTTTACTCAAATTCTAGTCTTCAATTTCCAAAAACTGGAAAGAAGTTGACAACCTTACCTGCAGAAACAGCTTCGCCCTTCTTCCAAGTCAGTACACATTCCCACTTAAACCAATCCATTTTTGACATCTCAGTCCCCAGTCTTCAACTCTAACCACTGGGGGAAGCTCACATCCTAATTTGTAATAAAACACGCCTCATTCTCTCTTGTCTCAGTACACACCTCACTACCATCGCCACGCCTAGGTGATTTCTTCAGGCTAACTCAACAACCTTCCACTTCCAAGCCTCTGGGGAAACCCCATCCATCCCTACGGCAATAACTGTGTGTTGCCCCCATCACAATAATATATTATCACCATTCCCAATGCATTTCCTTTATCTGCATATTTTACTTCCTTTTAAAAAAGTGGCTACACAATTATCCACCTAGGAGTTCTGTTGGCCTAGTGGGTAGAGATTTGTGCTGTCAACTCAGAGGCACATGGTTCAAACCCACCAGCTGCTTTGCCAGAGAAAGACGAGCCATGTCTCCCACGTGACTGACAGCCTCTGAAAAACCCAGAGAGTGTCAGTGCTAAATCGATTCTGACTCCACGGCACGCAACAATTATCCACCTACCCAGGACTGCAACTGAGATATGGTGTTACACTTTTCTAAAATCATCACCAACTCAAT